AAAATCTCTGCTGCTTTAAGTTCCTTCTCATTACTTTTCAAGACCTTTCTTGGATTCTGCATGTTAGGCATCTTGAGTTAATTAATTATAATTTTGTGTTTATTAGTAAGACTAATTGTTAAACTTTTTGACTGTGTAAGAGAATATTTATTAATTCGTATGAGACATCCCTTTGATGGTTTCTAGTTGTATTCATTGATATTCCCAAGCACGAGTGAATACATTAAATATGATAATTTGGAGCTTGAATTGTAAAGTTGCCTACTGAATTACAAATACTTATCTATGGTAGGTAGTGAGCCTCAATATGATGGATTGGTAAAAGTAGAATTTCAACAAAAAAGAATTAAGTGTTCTAGTTTAATTAAATAAAATTGTATTTAGGTAGTCGAGAGCTCAGTTCAAATTGAAAGTAGTATTTTAAATTTCATATCAATGATTAATTTTATTTTAAAAAATGATTTTTATTTTTAAAATTCAATTAAAATTGAATTGAGTTCTTAAAAAAGGACAGATGAAATGTATTTGAATGCATTTGGTCATTAGTTGAGCGAGAAATATTGGATGTACATGAGTCTACGTTTTACTTGTATGTAAAGTTAAAGAAAACGGTGGAAGAATTGAAAAGCGATTCACTGAATGGAAACAAACAAGGTAAATATTAGAATAAGAATTGGAGTAAAGAGACTAAAAATGGAATCATGATGTCTAGGCATGTGCAGTAGATTATTTTTGGTTTTAGGGAAAATCAAACCCTGCTCTATACATTTATTGTAATTATTTTGCTTCAAAAACTTCTCCATCCCATTATGTCTCAATGTTTAATATCATGCGCATGTTGTAATAAATACTTGTTTGCCCGATAATGTCTTGATGTTCAATACCATGCACGTGTAGTATCAATATAATATAATTGTCCAAATATTCTTCAATATGGAATTTATGAGTAAATCTAATATGACTATAGTGGTCTATTTATACACTTATTGATGCCGGACATAATAGTGATTATTCTGCAAGCTAGTTCTATCAGTAAATTCACAGGGAAAAACACAAGAGTAACGTCGAAAACACAGAGAAAATGCCTCTGGAGTTTAAAGAACTTTATTGTAGCAATAATCAAAATAAATCCACAATCCAAACTTTATAGCCAAAAATCCAAATTTTACCAAAAATGGCAAAATTTCAAAAAATCGCGCCTAATTAAAATAAGGAATAAAATAGTAGACTGCAAAAAAAACTAACCCAAATCGGGTTAAAAATTACCAATCGAATTATTAACTAAAAATAGCATTTCAGAAGGGAAAACAACAGAATCTGAGGTCAAAAACGGCACATAATGAGCAAAGCTTTGTGACCACATCGTGTGCGCTAAAACAAGCTTTTCGGATTGGAGTCATGGGCACGATTCTAACAACCGTAGCCAAAGTTATAGCCAAATTACAGAAACACGTCTCAATTATCAAAATTACGCGATCACTTGCCATCCTTGCGCCGATCTTCCAACTCGTGATACTTTAGAGCCATTAATGTGTTATCTGACAACTCAACATCTGACTCGGACCATGCTGCATCACTTATTCGGGGCCTAATATAGCGACATTTGATAGTTTTTTTGACAAAATATATTCTAAATTGTTGTATTTATGTTTAATAGGTGAAACTCTATGATTGAAAAAGGAATTAAAGGAAAGAAGCAAGAGATGACAAAAAATAGCAAAATTCAAAGTACGAGGACTAAATTGGCATTGGTTGCACAATTAAGTGGACTCGAGGATTGAATTGCATTATATTAAAAGAATTGAGGACTTCGAGAAAAAAAATCATTAATGAACCACAAATTAGGGGGGCTGAAATTGAAGGGATATTATATATAGACGCACAAGAAAACAAAGAAGGTAGAAGGGTTGGAATTAGAAAAACACATTGGGCGGCTGCAAGGGCTGAGTTAATTATATATACACGTACAAAAAAAAAAACTTCCAGAGGCAGCGGCTGAATTGGAAGAAATTGGGAAGAAATAGTTCAATAGAGAATACATGTATACCTCTATGCTTTACATGATTTTCATTGATGTTCTAGATCGTTTAATGCATTTATCATGTTTGCATATTTCATCGAGAAATACAAGGTTCACATGAGGGGAATAAATTTGATAACTATCGAGAGATGTTTTCAATTAAATTAGGAACACTAATCAACAAGAATGATTACAAATTGTACCTTTAATTCGTTGTGTTAAAAATGAATTAAAAAGGGGGGTTCAACATTTTAGCAATACTTTCACATATTTGAAATCAAACCAATTAAATTGCTTTCTAGTTTAATTGATAATTTAGATATTAATATAGAAAACTCAAAACCTATTTGTTGTTCAATTAATGTTGCTATTAATTTGAACTCGACTGAATACTTAGTTCTCGTGAGTTCGACACTCTATATACTACTATATTACTTATTCACAATCTCGTTCACTTGCCGGAAATCAAACGATCATAATCCATAATATATTCCATTATATCATACTGGTTAAACGGTTGTAAATTTGATTTCTAAGTAAGCTGGCACAGATATTAAAATTGATTATTATTGTCAAATTTTCCACCAAGTTGATGGATAGTAAGAAACTAATATAATGATAAACATAGGTCAAATATCTATTCAATTTTACTAAAAACTAACGATAACATAATCGGATAATTGCAGCCAATGTCCCATACTTTAAAATTGCTGGAGCTTTTACTCTAACATTTCATTTGTTGCACTCCTGGTCCCAAGCCTTTCAAGTGTGTGTGTGTGTGTGTGGTTGGAGGACGAATAGATGAATTCTGTCCATCAGTTGAACCCCCCCCCCCCCCCCAAAAATGATTTTAACCACATTATTAAATTTCTTCTAATTTAATCCTTTAACTTTTGAGTTTATTCATTTTAGTCCTTGAACTTCTAATGTGATCCAGTTTGTCCTCCAAACGTTTCATCTCTTCAATTTTGGTTCTTCAATTGTGGATGTGCCTGTCTATTTGTCGCTAGTTAAGATGGAATCCGACCAACAAGTTCTTTGCTACTACATTTATGAAAGGTTGAGAATGATGCTAAAAAGATAAGAAAGTTTAACTTCAATTCATACATTTCACAAAGGTTAGTCGGATTGCTACAACTTCCAGTAATTAAGAAGAAAAAAAGAATATACTAATTAACTAGAACTGAAGCAAGTTGGTCTCAAATCTTTTATCACACAAACTGAAGCACGAGAATTACACTTGGAGCCTCGAAGGGTTCCAATTATTTCGACATAATAACTTCAAATTATAACATTACTTTGTTTCTCATCCAACAAGAGAATTAATGACAAAACTAAAGGAACATCGAGCATGCATCCATGCCAGCATTATTCAACACAACTTTTCTAAATAAATTAAAGGAAGCAGTAATTGTTAATTTTTTACATCGTCGCATCTTGACCTTTTCACAGTACCACATCGTTCTTCTTAGTCTTGACATCCTGTTACCTTATTAGGCTTTTTCAGGAAATTCATCCACCACATAGCTGATCTTTTAGGGAATTTAGTCAAACGTCCACTCAGGAAGTCTACATAAAAAATGCCAGATCTAACGTTGTACACTTGGGCCCATTCAAAATTATCAAGCAATGACCATATGAAGTAACCCTTCACACGTACACCACGTCTGAAAATGAAGGAAAACTAGTCAATTAATTTCAAAACATACAATTTTATTTCCAATTCATAAACTACCATATGTGCAAAACAAATGATGACTTACTCTATCGCCTTTCTAAGGCATGCGAGATGGTCCTTGTGATACTTAATCCTAGTTTCATCAATACGAGCCTTTGAAATTGTTATGGCTTTGTTGTTGACTTCATCCAACCCTACAAAAGATCATGGAGGAACCAACAAACCACTAAATACCCTGAAAATTAGTAATTTTTTTTTTGCTATATAAATAAACTAATAAACAGGACTATATACCGTTTTCTGTAATGATAATCTCGGGATTCTTATATCTTTCCTTTATATGAAGCATGAGATGGTAAATTCCCTCTGGGACTATGTACAACCATAGCGAACCAGCCTACCATGAAATAAAAAAGATTGTTATTACAAAATGTATTCTAATTCATTGAGCTGGTATATTATGAGTTTCTATCACGATCATGTATCGCCATATTTTTTTTATATGCCTAAATTGTTGTAAGAATAATCTATTCATTTTCTGATTTTTCTCATGGAAGGGTAATGTTAATGGCTCACCCGCTGACCAATTGGCTTCCCGTGACGATGAGCTACAAAAGAATGAGAAGTAAACATATTGTTATTAGTAGTGTCCATTTTATGTCAAGATAAAAGAATATAACGGAATTGTACCTACTATGATATTCAACGTGCAGATCATTGTCATAATGTGGTTGTGAAGTCTTTCGACGTATATTTGTGGCATAATAAGTCGTGTAATAGTTTATGCCTAAGAAGTCACAGGAACCTTTCACTAGCGCCACCTCGTCTGGATTAAATTTGGGAAGACGTTTTCTTACATTATTTCTCATGGATGGTGGATAATCGCCAGTTATTACAGGGGCTACAAACCTGAACAAGAGAAATGTGTTAAAATTTTGAATTATGATAGAAGTAATGCCTGAAATTCTACTAAAATATATCTCATGTATTCTCAAAAAGACACATGGTTTATACAATATACAAACAATAAAAATGTATAAACAGGTTAAAGGATAGACAAAATAGAAGAGAATTAATTTTCAATAATGGAATCCAAATTTAATGAACTTCCAAGACCACTAATTTCATTTTGAGTGTTAGGAATTTATAGAGATGAAAAGAAATTTCTCTTGGTAAGGATAAACTACTCAAGCACACGCAGTAATTACCATCCTAACATAAAATCGACTGCCCTTGAAGCAGCCTCTACATCCTCCGAGGTGTCCCTAAGTGGATAAAACCACGTTGAAATGTTTGTCATCCCTATTTTTCCTCCTTGGCGTTCCTGTATGTACGAATGTTATAATATTTATAATCAATAATTAAATCTCAAAAGTGTCTGTGAAATATCAAAATGAAAACCTGATAACGTTTCCTGTATATATTAACCGCATGTGCATGAGCAAGGATCAAATTGTGTGCCACTATATATGGTTCAGAGCCTGGATCCCTTTTTGAGGAAGTATGGTGAGGAGAACTAAGCACCATATCAAATGGTTCTCTCTCTGGATTTTTTTCAGAGGAAGTAAGGTGGGGCAAATTTTGTGCCATAGCAACTAGTTCTTTGATTGGATCTCCTTCAGAGGAAACAAGTTCAGGCAAATTGTGTGCCATAGGAACTAGTTCTCCGACCCTGACCTGATCTCCTTCTGTAGAAGTAAAGTGAGGAATAGTCATTGCACTTCTGTGATGCAGGATCGAGGAACGCATCAGTTGTTCCATCGATGTTGTCTGTTGTTCCATTGATGTTGCACGTTGTTCCATTGGTGTTGCCCCCAAGAGAGGCAGCCTATTTTCCATCGAAGTTTCATTCGCTGAAGTTGCACGAGGTTCACCTCGACCAAAGGGAAAATTGCCCCTCACATATCCATAATAACTAAAGGCCCATGGCTCATTCAGTGTGATCCAATGTTTCACTCGATCACCAAATTCCCGAAAGCAAATATCAGCAAACTTACAAAAATGGTCCCTGTAATGGCAATGTGAAACAAGTTAATATCAAGATATATGTGTAATGTACACAATGATGGTAAAAATTTTCACAGGACATTGATCTTTGTGCAAGAGATCAATCTGCCATTATTCTATCACTTATATCATTATCTTTAAACAAAATATTTGTACCCGTTCTTCGATATATAGTGTTTGGGAAAATAACTTCACTCGCTAATATCTAGCACAAGATGTTCTTGAGATGCAAGATCAAATTACTTACACAATTTGACAATCTAAGAAGCCACGATATTCATGTTCCAAACATTGAGGAACATCCCAGTCAAAGATAGTTGCACAGGGCTGAATATCTGCATAAAGTAATTCGAGAATGCAAGGTAATATCGTTTGATTTTATTTTGTGTGTAAAAAGAGAAATGATTTCAAAATCATATCAATTTTCTAACTTCAATTATGAATTAATTAAACAAAAATAAACATTAGTTTCTTAAAGAAACAATAAATGTGTAAATTCTATATATAATGTAGTCTAACCTTCTGCCAAAAGTGCGTTTATGAGATCATTATAGTATTTGATTCCTTCTTTGCTTATACCACCGCATAGTTTGCCTCCTAAAATATAAAAATAATTTATACACAAATTAAAATAAAACAAGGAACCGTTACTTGGGATTAAAATTGAGGAAATTGCTTGGCAACGACATATTCGTGACTACTTCTCGTCTTCTATATAACTTCTAATTTTAAAAACTTTTTGTCATTTGTTCTAAAGTTATCAATATATCGACAAGTTTTTTTTTCCATGAGTTTTAGGTGGAAAACTAGGCAAGTTAGACGAAGCTTTCTAGTCCACTTAGACACCCTAGTCCTACTTTTCAATGAAGACAATAAACTCTATTGTCAAGAATCTTGTCCACTTTGCCTAGTGAGGATTTCGATAAAAGGAACTATAGTCATTTAAATTTTTAAGCAAAAAAAATCAATTTGCCTGAAAAATTTGATTAATTAGAAAAATTTTCTTTTGAGATTAAATATTGCACAAACTCTAAATCTTTGATGTTTCAATATTGAAATAAAAAATCTATTTTTTTCTAATTTTATTGTAGAGTCCAATACCTGGTAAGATTTTGGACCACGAAATCGAAAATCGATAAGAATTCAAACCAACTTTCTTCATCAAAGCCGCATCTTCCTGCAACATTATCAAAAATGAGTACAATATACAATGGAACACGTGATTCTTGGTGGTTTCAATTAGAGTACAGTCAATTGTAATGTAAATAGTTTGTTTTTTCTTCCCTTTTTTTCAAAATTGAAAATTTTGACTTCAAACGTTAACAAACTATGAACTCATTTTGAATGTAGTTCCAAATAATGGTCACGAAATCATTATTTTCAATACAGGGGACGAAAACCTTTCCTGCTTTACTGGATCAAAAAAAGTAATTTAGTACATTTAAATTTGTTCTTTCAATTCATCTTTCACTTGTGGAAAAATGTCTTGAAAGCTCCATTTTGTGAATGAACAATTACTTCAAGCCACTTCTAGTGATTTGGAATTTTGATACGGAATTTGATTAAAAGGGGCAACCTTTCCATGTACAGTAAGTCTTGACTGAAAATAAAAGGAAATATTCTTTAAATTTGATTTTTGAGTTACATTTCCTTTTATGTTTAGTCCACTAAATTAATTCCCATCACTCTGTGCCATAAAAATTTAAGTAGCTAAAGGCCATGTACCTCAAACATATTATAGTGACCAATAGCAACGCCCCCATTTTGACCATCCGCAATGCTAGCTGTCACTCCAATTAATAAAGATAAATATATGCTCACCAACGGTCATGGTGTAAAACACAAGTATAAATTAACAAGTTTAGTTTTTTTATTGAGATTTGGAATTCCTTCTTAAGAGTACCATAAGCCTTATTTGTTGATA